GAACCTTAGCCAATGGATTGAGGTGCGTGCCTGATAAGCTGAAGGTCCCGGGTTCAATTCCTACTCGACCTACATTTTCTTTTCTTTGTCGAAGGGATGTCCCTGGCATATCCTTGGGACGTCCTAGGGATATCGCTTCTTCGTACTCGGTTAATCCCAGGGACGTACCAGAAAGGACATCCCTTGGATATAATTCATTTGAAAAAACTGACTCAACTCTTTTACATCATTTTACAATTCGCATCTGTTCATTTAAAAAGTGCCAAAAGAAAGCTCAGATGAAATTCTACAGCTTTCATATTTGAAGACCTATTTATTTCCACCTCGTAAAGGTAGTATTCATCAACATAATTCCATCACCACATTTTCAGCTTTGTTCTTAGTTTGGCTTTCTTTGAAATCTCGTTTTTTTTTAATTTTTGGATCATTATATATTTTCTATTCTCCAGTGCGCTTACCGAAAAAGGTGTGTGTTCTGATTTGTCAGTTTTTTTTTTCAAACTACCGCCTCGCAGTGAAAATGAAAAGAATTTGCACGGGATGCATTCCTTGGATGTTGTAATCGTTCATCAGGCTTCCTCCCCAAAAACTTCATTTCATACAAGAACTGGTATATAATTCTTTCGCAAAAACTGACTATTCTATTATTTTACGATTCGCATCTGTTCGTTTGAAAAGTGAAAAAAGATAGTACAGATGAAATCCTTTAGCTTTCATATTTGAAATCTTCTCCATCTCGTATAGATAATAATTATCAATATGCTTCATATATTTCATTTTCAGCTTTGTTTTAAGTTTTGCTATCTTCATCGTGTTATATCGTGTTCTTTCAGATTTTAAAAATATTAGATATTTATTTTCTATTTTCTAATTCGGTAACCTACAAAAGTATTTGTTTTGATTTGATTTCTTTTTTATTTTTCAATCTATCGCCCCTCAGTGTAGATGGAAATAATTTGCACGGATTGCCTTCTTCGGATGTTGTAAATAAGGCTAACATTTGAAATCAAGGTTACATTTTATATTTATTTATTTATATTTTAAATTTTGGTGGCCGAATATCATTCACCATTTTATTCGAGAAAAAATATCGCCCATTTTGAAGATCCTGATCAGGATAATGAAACAAAACTATAACCTATATTATGCTATTGTTATTCGCCTTCGATATATGCATACGAAGTTTCAATTTAATTTGTAATGAATTATAAACGGGATAATTCCACTAGCTATATTCAATTGATAATTAGATTTCAACAACACTTTAGTTATTATCATCAATATGACACCTTAGTGATATATTATACCGTGTAATATCCTGTACAAATCCCCTCACTTGAAGAAATCATGACTCCTGTGATGATACTGTCACGAGTGGTTCTAACGCCCACTATCGCAACTCGAACTCACTCGCTTGCAAGAGGTTTTTTTGAAAATGATAACAAAATAATTTAACTCCACTTCACAAGTTTATTCATTTTGAATAAAAACAATTAGGGCATGAAATGAATTGACCATTAATTATCCAGCAAGATACATCCACTCAAATCGAAACAAAACAGGAAAACTAAAACTAGTAATACTCAAAAAAGGTACTTACAGAAGGGCTCGCTTTTCGTTGGAGGATTGGAAATGTCACTCACGAAGTTTAGACATGATGCAAAGTTTGAGATTTACTTTCTATTAGAATATTTGAAAAGTCTTTACGGTCCACTGTCCGAACCACAGCTGCCGGTTTTTTCTCTAATACTTTTTCATCTTGGTTTTGGTAGTGGTAATTGATTCAGCATAAAAACTAGTGTATTCACCTCGATTAGGAAAAATCCAAAACCAGCAGTTTCTGCCCGTCAGCGACTTTACTTGAATAATAATAAAATCGAAATCCGAACTATAATTTCCTTTGAATATCGTAATTCTCTACTGATATCCTGTAAGCTAAATAATTCTAAGAATATGATCTAGACTAGGTTATTGTACTGTTCTTGAATGAAATGAGAATTTCAAATATTCTCAATAAAATTATAGTTTTTATCCATTTTTGACAATACTGTCTTATATTTGAGACATGAGCTGTTTCTTCTCTTGAATCACTATTCAAAAAATGAACATATGCCAAAACTTTATCAATATTTTTCATCTTAGTAATTTCAAAAGGCCCTCTAGTGACAAACTCTCTCCCAACGCGTTGATTCTTCGTTAAAATCCAATCTCCAGCCCTTAGTTTAGGCGGTAATAATTTTTGCTTCTTGTTTGCTTGTTCTTGAACCCTTTTCTTGTATCTTAATTTCTCTTCCTGATTTTTCAACCTATCACATAATATCTCAAACTCTATTCCTAGTATTTTATCAGCTTGAAGGACTGTTGTTCTTCCGTATAATGCGAAGTTAGGTGAACAACCCAAGTATATTCATTATGTGAATAGTTGTGATGACGAACAGCTGCTTCTAGACGATTCTTCCAGCCTCCTTTATGATCTGGATAATACTTGGTGAATGTTCTCAAAGTTCTCACAGATATTTCTGCTGATCCATTTCCGCTTGGATGATATGGAGTCGTATGAATCGATTGTATACCCTCAGATAATGCCCATTCTTTGAATTCTCCTGAGGTAAAAGATCGTCCACAATCTGTCACAATATTTTTTATTTTCTTTTCAAAAGGAAATTCACTAAAACATTCTCTGAATGCTCTACCACTTTTTTTCATAGCTTTTGCAGAAATATGCCTACTTGCTTCATCCACTACAACCAAAAAAGATTGAGTATTCCTATTCAGATCTGATTTTTTACCTGATTCTGCGAAATCCAGGTGAATTGTTTCGTACGGCTCCTGAGCACATGACGTCAAATGAACATACTTGGGCTTGTGAGTACTTAAATTCCACATTCTGACAGATTTCACATGTGTCAATGTAATTCTTAACATCTTTACCGAGTCCTTTCCATTGGAACCGCTTACTTATTTTATAATAATATGTCTTGTAATAGCCCTCATGGCCTCCAGACTCTCGTTCATCGTGATACAGTAATAAGTTTTCTCTTTTCATCTCTTTCGTTTTCACCTGATAACTACCATCTTGCATTTTTTCCAAATCTTCAATATTCCAATTGTACCAGAAAGTTTGAGACACATTTTCTGGAGTTGCAATACATAATCTGGATAAAGCATCTGCATCTTGAAGTTCTATGCCTGATTTGTGATTTATTATTATCATGTCAAAACAAAGTAACAACATTTTCCATCTTGCCAGTCTATCCCCCAAATTACCAGATGTTAGAAGTTGAGTAAGTGCTCTATGATCAGTATGGACTTCGAATGTTCTTCCTTCCAAATATATGTCCTGAAATACTCAACTGCTTTCAATACAGCTAAACATTACTTTTCTGTCACTGAATAATTTTGCTCACTTTTTGAAAAAGTGTAGGAGTAATAGGAGATAACTCTCAGTATGATAATTATATCACTATATGATGGAGGCGAAAATAAACAGTCTGGTCGATAAATTGACTTCCATAGAAGAAGTGGCAGAATCAAACAAAGTAATGTACCTCCTCGCCGTACTCGATCCTCACGCTTGCTCAATGTACCTCTTAGGAAGTTATCTAAATCCCCTCTTTTAATCATGCTTCGACTGGCTAACCATTATAACACTCTAATTTCATTTGAGTGGTCGCTCCCTGAAACTACATTTCGCAGAGAAATCTTAAATGTCATTCTCGATTTATCAGTTTGATTTTGGGAAAGAATCCCTACATTTCTCTTCTATCTCTTTTTTTCCTTTGTTTTCCACTTTTCTGTTATGTAACCTTATTTGTAATGATTAGGTTATATTATCTTGTACTTACTTGAATTGATTATTGTAAGGTTTAATCGCCACTTCAGATGGGTAATTATTTTATATTTATGTAATCCATGTAATTAGGCCCATAGGCCTGTTTGGATGAATAAATAAATAAATAAATAAATAAATAAATAAATGATATCATATTGATATATTATACAGTGTCATATTATACTGTACATAATTCAACGAGGTGGGTCAAAATCATGTTCAAAGAACTAACATACAAGAGCATGCAAACAAACATAGATTACACCATAATATCAAGCTAATAAAATAATTTTGAAAATTGAAAAGACACACTGTTATAAAAAGTTATAAGACCAAACAGTGGAAAATGATTTTCAGAAAAGCGTGGTAATAGTAGGTATGTATAGGTAGGGTTAAATAAATACACAACATAGAAAATATCAGCAACTCCGTTATTAGTATTATCATCTGAATTATTATAATAATATCTACTAATTACGGATTTGAATTTCAATATATCGGAGAAATATCGAATTTTTACTTTTCTTTGGACGTTTCGGTAACGGTTACGATAATCCATCTGATTTGTCCTTCAAACATGTTTAAACGAATATCGAGCTGATACTCATATTTTTATTTGATAGCAACGAGGACCGAAAATCCGGGAAAATGTGTTATCATTTTTTTCATCATTTTTGTCAAATTCAATAGCACAAGTGATAGTATTCAGCCAAAAATATTCGGCGATTGTAACGACAGCTTGTTGCTAATATTTCTTGAATGAGCAAGCTGGAGTATGTCAATCGACGGATATTTTTAGTAAGAATGATATCACCAGTTGAATATCAATTGAGTATGCATATTTCATGATTGAGACGATAAACGAGCGCCTCGTAAGAGTTGCGCACTCTGAATCCATCATTCTGGCATGCAACATGATTGACGTTTCAAATGTCAAAAATTGTATCGATGAGAAACAAGGATGGTTGATCACGTATAGATCGATTCGACTTCTGCATTGATATAGCCGATAAAATTTAATAAACAATGAAATATCGCTGCAATACAGAAAAAAATTGTAAAAATGATCGATTCTGATTGGTTATGTCGAGGACAAGAGTGCTAAAATCATTGAAATTTTCATCACAGTTCGAAAAGAAGACCAGACGTCCAACAGAGGAGAGAGGAGAGAGGAGAGAGGAGAGAGAGGAGAGAGAGGAGAGAGAGGAGAGAGAGGAGAGAGAGGAGAGAGGAGAGAGGAGAGAGGAGAGAGGAGAGAGGAGAGAGGAGAGAGGAGAGAGAGGAGAGAGAGGAGAGAGAGGAGAGAGAGGAGAGAGAGAGGAGAGAGAGGAGAGAGAGGAGAGAGAGGAGAGAGAGGAGAGAGAGGAGAGAGAGGAGAGAGAGGAGAGAGAGGAGAGAGAGGAGAGAGAGGAGAGAGAGGAGAGAGAGGAGAGAGAGGAGAGAGAGGAGAGAGAGGAGAGAGAGGAGAGAGAGGAGAGAGAGGAGAGAGAGGAGAGAGAGGAGAGAGAGGAGAGAGAGGAGGAGAGGAGAGGAGGAGAGAGAGGAGAGAGAGGAGAGAGAGGAGAGAGAGGAGAAAGGAGAGAGGTAGAGAAGAGAGAGGAGGACACGTCTCGTGGATGTCTATCGATATCATCAGTGCATCATTAAGATCACCTCAAAACAGGTCATCAAGATATATTGGAACAGATACAGGATCTTGAACTACCCAATAATAAGGGTGCTCCAAGATTCATAATTCTGATCACCCTGTCTCTGTTCCGATTAAATATCAGTAAATAGGTAATCAAAAGTTGAGATTGGGACATGTGAGCCGTTTTGGTCGACAATGAATAGTTTTGACCCAGACAAATCCTCAAGTTGAAGAATCCCTTCCTATATCTCAATCATTTCCGATTAAAGTGTGATGTATCGAAGAACTCAGCTCTTCATGGAGAATCTGGAAATGCTATAAGCGGCAACAATGGATTGCTGAAAAATATTTTGAATGAAGAGAGCGTATTCTGGAATATAAGCATGCATGCATGCATGCATGAATTTCTCCCGACTGATTCTCGAGATAGGAATAGTGTGAGCTCATCCTGTATTTCACATTCAGTTCTCTTCTTCTGCTATAGTATATATTATTCATTGAACATTGAACCATTAAATCAATCCATTATATGCCGGCACGTTAAACTTCCCAGGAATAATTTACGGTAGCTATCTCGTTGTGTGGCTTCACACTTCATTCTCTTTTGTTGAAAAAGGGGAAGCTCGCCTTACTCTTAATTGAGGTCATTTGGGGAAATGATCGCTAGTCATTCTGAAAGTTATTTATGGAAATTACTCAAAGCCCTCTTGGTCAAAACAAATAGCTTTACCCAGAATTTCGATATTTGTTCTCAAAATGTTGAGATTTTTTTTTAAAATTCGATCTCAGACAGCACTGGATATTCCTAGAATATTCTCTAAATATGCTGAAAGAGAAAAGTATACTCCGAATGTCCATCAACTATTTCTAGAATATATATGTGCCTCTGGAATATCCAAAGGGTATTCAAATTTGAATATTCTAGTAGTGATACAAAATGATATACACGGGATATTCTAGAAGGAATATTCAAATATAAATATTCCAAGAATATTCTAGTTGAATCGTTCAGTGAATATTCAGGTATGAATATTCCAGGAATATTCTCAACTGAATGGAATCCCTAACAACATAAGTACATCCTAGGGACTTCCCAGGGACGTCCCTAATTTTATACTGGAACATCCCAGGGATATCCTTTGTCGGGACAAAGTACATACTAGGGACGTCCCAGGGACATCCGATGGCCGACAAAAAAGGCATCCGAGGGATGGAATAGTCAAATAATGTCAACCTGTTCTCATATTTCATTGATATGATGTTAATTTGGAAGTGATTCCTACGAATTCGTCCAAATCGATGATGCATAAGAACTGACGACTACATTATTCGAACGGAGCGAGACGTGAGTGCTTCCCAATTTTTGTGTTTTTTTCTATATATAGGGTAAACCAGCTCTTATTCATATCCATAGTTGATATCTTATGGATATCCATAATGAATATCTTCAAGACATCCAAAAAGGTCACACTGTCGCATCCTTTATGGACGTCCATAGGATATACCAGAGCCCTTTTTGAATATATCTTATGGATATCCACAATATCCATGATGGATATCCATAGTATATCCATAAGATGTACTTGTGCTATCTGGGTTATCAGGCACGCACCTTACTCCATTGGCTGATATGCCTTCTGAGTATTTATGTACTGAACAGATTCAAAAACAGGACTTAACTACAGAAAACTGAACGAATACAACTTTGTTAGGATTTGGGTATGATTATTATCATTTTTTGGTGTTTGAAAATAAGGAGCATTATGCATTTACGATTTCTGTTTGCGAAAAATGGTTATTCCTTAAGAAGTTCTGAGACTTTGTTCTTTATTTTCATCACAAACAGAAACAAACATTTTCAAAAAAAAATTCGACTCAACATTTTGATGAAATTCAATGGCTCTCGATATGAATGGATATCAGATATTCCAGGGACACGAATAGGATATCCTAGGGATGTACCGGGCGGGATGTCCACTGGACATCCACTGCGGGACATCCCCTGGATGCCCCAATCATGTTCTAGTACCGCGAGACAAAAAAGGGACGTTTCTAGGACATCCCTGTGTTATTAGGGATATAGTATAGTATAAACACCAATCACTATATTATATTCTATAGATGCGAGTATCAAACATTAATTATAATAAAAATGTGATGAAAAATCCATCGTATCTCAAAGTGGAGTGGTTAGTTACCATCCAGGAATCATCAGGAACACAAAAGCCATCACCACAATGTCAAAATATAGGGATGAAATTACTCAATCAGATCATCGTACATGTCTCGAACCCATAATAAGCTCATCTTTTATTATTATTTATCGTGATTTTGAAACATATCTAAAGTGTTTATAAACCGATGAACAACACTTCTTCAACAACATTTTATGTACAATATCATTCAACGCGATTACTGGCCTGGTAGTTGAGGCGTTGCTCTGACGAGTTCGATCCCATCTTGAGTCAGCTTTTTTCAATTTTAAAAATATGTTTAGTGAAATATACTCCAGGAATATTCATTTATTATATATTTCTCTATTATCCCTGGAATATTTCGAATATTATCTGAATATTTCTAGAATATTATAGGTACACTATAAATATATAGAGAATATCCCTCGTGAATAATATTCTAGGAATATAAACATTCTTCCCCAGCAGCACATTAATGAGGGAATATTCCGTAGAAGATATGTTCATATACCTGAGGGGTGAGAATAAGTATAACAGCCTAAAAGTCACCAAATGATTGTTTGGAGGTAATTGTAAGGATACCTCTATTTGGTGAATCTGTTAGTATTTCCTGGATATTAGCAGAAGATGACGAATTATCACGTCACTATGACGTCCCTGATTGGTGATTCTCCATCAGAGATGTCACACACCAATTTATGACGTCACTATGACGTATTTTCTATGACGTGATAAACGTCATCATCTCCACGTCGAGTGAACGTCACTTTAGAAGGGTAAAATAAGATGTCAGTTTCATAACGTTGCAGGGAAGTCCTGTCGACGTCCATTTCTCCTAGACCGTCTCAAAACTATGTTTACTTACATCATCATGTGGAACCGTAAGGTTTGTGACGTACCGATATATACAGGATGGGCATTTTCAGTGTCGAAAAGTTTTCAGAAAAATAACTCGTTTTTCCTCAATTTTACACACATATATAGAAACATGTACGCCTTGGTAATTTTATATATATGCTACTGACGTTGATAGAAGTTTAACCCATTGAAACAAATCAACATGCAAGTTTTATTGGAATTAGATATACCTACTCAGATATACTCAAAAAGTAGAAAACTTTTTTTAATACTGACACCCTGTATATCTCAGAAACAAATCAAGCTATATATGCGTATACATATAAATGGTATTGGTGCACCTATCGAAACCGTCACTTTTATGACGTTGAAGTGACGTATATAGGACGTTTAAAAATCACGTTGGTGTGACGTACCAATTTGGTGAGTTTCGTCATTCAGAAAATTTTCCAATAATTTGCTATTTATATAGATATTTCTTGGGTAACAAAGAATGCATGAATATACGTTACTCAACGAAGTGAATCAATTGCTATCAAACTATTCTGATTTCATTCTGATGGAGATGCGAACTGAGGGATAGCGCTGCTGAATAGACGATTGATGGACTGAAACGTACTTTTTAACTATTTCACTGCTAACGGTAGCTGTTCATCGGAGGCACAAGGGCGTGAGTCTATTGCTAAATTGACATAGAAATTACCATTGGTTGATTGGAGTTTAATACAAAGAAAATATGTAAAACAATATGTGCTGTTTTAAATATGTATCAAGAGTTGAAAAGGGCGCCACTGATTCTTTTAGATAGTTATTAGACCTGGCAAAGTCAGAAACCTATAATGTGAGAGAGAGATTCAGTTGAAATAAGAAAACCTCATCAAATACATACACAATTTAATAATGCGAAAAATTATCATTTGAACAAAAAAATTACACAATTCACCACTCAATCTTACCCTAAGTATGGTTTATTATCGCTGCTCGGTTTAGAAGAAAAATGATGAAAAATAATTTTTATGTGTATAGTCATATAGTGAAACTTATTCCATGTACTTGTTTCTTTGCCAGGAGATTCATGAACCTTTACAGGACGTTCAACGTAATATCATATACCTTTCAATATAGTGAATTGCAAAACGAGCTTCAATCTTTCAGATATGAGTAGAAGGATATGAAATATGAAACCTTTATACTTAGGACGAAATCGTAAAAAATGGGAAGAAATATTGAAAAGGAATATTCTCAGATATATTATAAACATGAAAAAATGGATACATTTGAATAAATACATTGAGAATTCGCATTCTCTATGTGATGAAATTATTAATCCTTTCTCGGCATATTCAACAGAAAACAACTACTTTCCTGGCTATATGCCACGACGAACATTGAATTATATCAATTGAACATACACGATAAGAATTTGAGCATAAAATGAATATCGTCTGAAATTGAGAATTGATATTCTCTTCCAGAATCGGATGAATACTATGATGAATATAACGATATAAAAAAATATATTACTTACCAAATTGGTATGAAAATTGGAATGTATGGGAGAAATATACTAGTATACATACTCTGTTCTTGTTGAGTCGTGAATTTATCAAATATCATCCGTATCCATGATGTTTGGGATATATGCACATCTCTTTCACATAGGTTAGATGATTTTGATTCGAATAAAATTCATTTCGAGTTTCAAACTCTCCTCAGTAACCTGAAGTCCAGTCATTCCTTCAGCCATTCTTCATTTAATACACAATTTTCACATTTCTATAATAATATAACTAAAACTATAGTGGAACTGACATCTATCTGAGAATGAAAATTTGTTGACTTATCTCCAGTCATGTGGGTGGCAATTGTTTTAGATGTATGACAAAATGACATTTATCATACAGGGCGTGGAAAGAAATTCTGAATTGAGAAAAACCCAATCACGCAGATTCGTGATTGGGTTT